GCCGGTACCATCAGCAGCCAGGACATAGGACTTTGCTCCAAGGAGGCCCACCTGGAAGTAGGACAGTAGCTCAGCAGCTTCAAATTCAGAGATGCCTGTAAGTCTCTTCTCTCTTGCTCGTGCAATGAGCTTGCAAGGAAATCAAGGTTGAAAGGGAAGCACAGGCAGGAATGGGTTATTCTCAGTCATCTGAGCAGGGCTGAAAGCAAACTCAGGACTCATGATGTTTGTAGGAAAATATTAAAGCATTTTGCACAGGTACATCCTGCAAAGAAACCTCAACCTCTTCAACCAACCTGGCAGCTCCTGTCCACAGCACTGGTTGCTGTTAAGGCCATGGAGAATTGCTCAGAAATAACAGTAATTCTGCAATGGAGCTGGACAGATAACTCCTACACTACATGCAGGCTTTAGCTGGATGATACTCTTCAGATTGGTTGCTGTGTCCACATCGCTTTTCCAGGAGTGTTTTCCTCTATGAGGAAACCTTTCCCTCTTTTGGGAAAGGTCTTTCAAAGTACCTAGTTTTTAAGTGTGTTTTTGTTGTTATTGTTGCCTTTTTATTTTATTTTATTTTTAAAGCCAGGAGCCTCCTCTTGAGGAGGGTAATAGCTAATGGGTAAGGAAGACAGCATGGGAGTAGCAGCTGTGCTGGCTGCAGAGCTGCTCGGCCTCTCTGCCGGTGCAAGAAGCCACCACCATGTGCCACTTTACCACCTCACTCAGGTTTGTTTTTTCCCAAAATCCCCAATTCAAAACAGAACAGACCAGGGCTCAGTTTTAATGAGATCATCTTTCCTCCATCCTTTTCCCATCCTCCTTCCTTCGCTTCTCTTGTAAAGCAACATCAAATAAACCCAGTGACAGAAACCCAGTGTTACTTAGATGCCAAGAATATTTAAACCTTGTCACAAACAGGAGGATCAAGGGAGACTCACAATCATGCACACAAAAAGCCAGCTAAAGAAACAGATTTTTATCTTACCATCTTAACATATCGAATAGTGACTTTAACCAGAAACTGGCCATGGGTTTTCTTATGTCTCCTTGTGCAGGCCATGTGATATTTTGCTTTCTCCTGGAACCACAGCAATCCGTGATCGCACACTGAAGAACTATGTATCTTGGCAGGACAGATGGTGCAAGAATAAAGGCAGCAGGACTGGCAGGATCTAGCCAACATGCGTGGTGTTTGCCATGCCCCAGCAGCATGGACACCTTTTTTCTGCAGTGTGTAGCGCCTATCTGTGAGGCAGCAAGTTCATTAAACTGCAGCGCTCTGCTGGCAGGCACTCCGGCTGCCTCCAACATCAGTTTGAATCAGGACTCTCTTGCTACAGAGCAAAGCGGGCTGCAGGAAGGGAAAAACCTTGTCACCGCGTGCTCCGAGGAGCCAGACCGCATCAGGAGCAGCTCAACCCTGGATCTGGTCATGTCTTACTTTGCTTCGGCCTCTCCCAGAGGTCAGGACAGCAGAGCTGGGTAACTCCATCTTCCCACCGCTCTCCCCCAGAGTGGGAACTGCAGCTTCCCCAAAGCCCTGTCCTCCCTCTTGATAAGGGGCCACTCAAGTCCTCAGCACTGGGTTGATATTCCCTGGGTAACTGCTCCCTGCACATCTACATGGCCAAGTCATGCGAGACAAGCTGGAGCCCACCCTCAGGGCCTGCCCTGCACTTTTTGCCAACAAAAACCCTGAATTTGGGCTCACTGGGGCAGTGAGCCAGCATGGACGCTTCTCCTTCGCACGAGCCAAGCGCTTCCACCTTCTGCACTGCTCAGACCAGCTCTGCAGCACCTCAGCTGAGTTACTCCCTTTGTGAAGGGACTGGGCTGAACCCTTCCAAAAGGGCTGCCTGTGAGTCTCCAGGCCAACGGAAAGGGAAGGAACAAATTTGCTTTAAGCAGCTCATGGACAGCATAATACATCCCGTGGACTTCTGTGGCCTGCATCCAACCAGCGGGCCAGGGAACGGAGCGCCACTCACCAAACGCATCCTGAATTCGGCCAAAACTCTGAAGCGGCTCCCGTATTCCAGCACTCCCAAGTTCAGCCGCTTCCTTCGCCCAGCAGATCTATCACAGGCTGCTCATAGCTCATTTGTCCCTCCTGCCTCGCCTGCTCCTCTTGGGAAGGCAGTGAAGGGCATTACTCACCCCACCCTGTTGACAACACACGTTTTACAGCTGTTGTCACTCGCTGAAAATTTACTGTTGGCACCAGTGATGTGTCACCGCACAGGCGGCCACAAATCTGCCCGCAGCGCAGGCAGACAAAAACCCTGAATTTGGGCTCACTGGGGCAGTGAGCCAGCATGGACGCTTCTCCTTCGCACGAGCCAAGCGCTTCCACCTTCTGCACTGCTCAGACCAGCTCTGCAGCACCTCAGCTGAGTTACTCCCTTTGTGAAGGGACTGGGCTGAACCCTTCCAAAAGGGCTTCCTGTGAGTCTCCAGGCCAACGGAAAGGGAAGGAACAAATTTGCTTTAAGCAGCTCATGGACAGCATAATACATCCCGTGGACTTCTGTGGCCTGCATCCAACCCGCGGCGCAGCGCCACTCACCAAACGCATCCTGAATTCGGCCAAAACTCTGAAGCGGCTCCCGTATTCCAGCACTCCCAAGTTCAGCCGCTTCCTTCGCCCAGCAGATCTATCACAGGCTGCTCATAGCTCATTTGTCCCTCCTGCCTCGCCTGCTCCTCTTGGGAAGGCAGTGAAGGGCATTACTCACCCCACCCTGTTGACAACACACGTTTTACAGCTGTTGTCACTCGCTGAAAATTTACTGTTGGCACCAGTGATGTGTCACCGCACAGGCGGCCACAAATCTGCCCGCAGCGCAGGCAGACGCTGCTCTCGAGCCTGCGGTTTCACTCCCATGCTGAGCTAGGACACCCTGTGGACCCTCCACGCCACAGCCTAGGGTCCAAACCAGAGGTTGTCTAGTCTGCCTGGAGTGAGCGTGGTTGAGCAGATGCAGTGAGGAGGTGTCTGTCAACGGGAGGGCACAGTGGATGAATATTCAAACCCTTAGGCTGTTTAGCACCTCCTGCGCTTCCCTTTGGAGGCCAAGGCCACCACAAAAGAAGATCCAGCCCTCGCCTAGCACGAAGGACTTGGCAATTGCCACCACCTGTAAGCCTCCCACTGTGGATTTGGGAAGAGAGCTCATCCTCCTGCTCCATGTGCTTCATGGAGGTCAAGAATACCGACAAAAAAAAAAAAAAACACCAAAAAGGAGAACAATGTATACAGAGAGTTACTACTCACTGTGTGGGTTTCGTAGCCAAGATACTGGGCATGAATTAAGTATGCCTGGAGGATGCATTTTTGTCGAAGTGCTGGAACGTCTTCTGTATCCTCAGTTATTTTGGGAGGCTCAGGAGCTGCCTGTGCATACAACCCTTTGCAGAGAAAACCACAGCTCACTGAAGTGCCACTTCTAGAGAGCAGTAGCCCTTCCCTCAGAGTAGGCAAGAGGCTCGGGGGAAAGCAGGGATGGCAAGCGAAGTCACTGCTGATGACTGTCCAAGGAAGGGACAGTGGCTTTGCCCTCTTCACAGGCAAGCAGGTATTTATTTCCCTGCATTTCACTCCATTTATTATGAAAGAATAAATATTTTCAATGCTGGCATCACACAGCTCACCCCGGTGCTCCATCTCCCTGCAGGGGACGTGCACAATCTGCACAACAACATGACAGGTAGAGCACGGAGGAGCAGGAACTTTTATTCCTTACTGGGATCTCGACTTCAGTGAAAGAAAGGGGCTGCGGGCACAGCTTTTTTGCTTGCTTGAATTCAAGCCAACGCACAAGAAGAGCTTTAAATAAACTGGAAGGAAAGCAAAGCATTTTCTCACATAGGCTTGTTTCAGAAAACAAAAAGCGTGTGGCTGGCAAGGGCCTAGAAAGGCTCATTTAAGCAGCACGGAGCACAGTGCTGTGCAGGCACCCTGGCCTGCTCAAACACCCACACGAGATGAGCCCTGCGGGTCCCCTGCACCTCCTGCATTGTGAAAAGCTTCCCTAATCCCAAGGCACATGGAGCACCCCTGAGCTCATCCTCCTGCACGCTCATCCCCAGGAGCCACGGTGGAACAGGGTGGTGAAGCGCAGGAGGGACAGCAGGGAAATCCTCTCCTGGGATCTCTCTGTGGAGGAGCAGACAGGGAGAGAGACAGCAGCATATCCCATTGGCACCACAAGATCCGGCTCCCAGTTGTGCAATGGCTGATCTAGCTAGGACATGGAATGAAATACTGGAGTAAGAAACATTCTGCAAATGAAAAGCTTAAAACACTTGGCACAAAACTGAGGGTAAATACAAACGCAATGTCTGCTAACAAGAGTCAGATCCCCTTTTCACATATTTCTGTTGCAGAGGTGAATGACAGCTCATGTTTTATGAAAGAGGCAAAGCAAGAAACATCAAGTTCAGTCATTTAAATAAAACAAGCAATCATATAACTCCCATAACCATTACTGCAACGAAAGATAAAAACCATCAAAAAACATCTGAATGCACTTGAGGAGTTATGGTGCCTTGCTACTTAGCAGAGTCATGAACTAACAGCCAGGAAACACCTCCTGGTTTAGGAAAAAAAGTAGGAGGTTTAGGTTCAGGAACAGCAAGTGTCCAAACAGCATTTTGAGGTGCCCTGAGGAGACCCAGGGAACAGTTTCTCCTGAGAACAAACACTGGTCCTGTAGCTTCTGCTACACACGTACGCATGTCAGAGAAGGGAACATGCACCAATGCAGGTGAGCAGCACCCAGGCTGCCAAATCTCCTCCCACAGCAGTGTCAACTGAGGGACCAGCCAGGGCTCTACCAGCGCAGCATGGCTGCAACCAAGATTGCAGCACACGAGAGCAGAGGTGACCACCCAGCTGGCTCCTCACACGGCCGGGAGCCAGAGCATCCTACTGATCCCACTGCAACCTGAGCAGCCTCTCGTGAGAGCAGAAACAAGCTTGGGGAGCTTGTGTCACGTACCTTATGGGAGTAATGCTGATCCACAACCCTGGCCAGCCCAAAGTCGCCGATCTTCAACACGAGATCCTCGGTGCTGATGAAGATATTGGCTGGCTTCAGGTCTCTGTGGAGCACGTTGGCCGAGTGGATGTACTTGAGCCCGCGGAGCAGCTGGTACATGAAGAGCTTGGCGTGCTCCTCCGTGAGCTTGCCCTGCTCCAGCAGCCGGGCCAGGTCCGTCTCCATGTACTCCTGCACGATGTACACCATGTTAAACTTGAAAAAGTCCCCGTGCAGCTTGGTCCCCTTGGGTCCCAGCACCTCATAGACCTTCACGATGTTGTCGTGCTCGAGAAGTTGAGGAAGGGGCACCCCAGGTCGTAGCCGTACATGCTGGCGATGCAGTCGCACTTCTCAGCCATCGCCGGCTCGCGCCTCTTCCGGCTTTGCTGCTTCGTCACTTGAAAAACTGGGAGAGTCAAAGAACTTCCAGATCACAAATGTGTTTTGAAAGAAAGCGAGTCATTATTACTCACAGATGCTTGGGGGATTTCTTGCTGCGAGCCCATGATTACAAGACGAGAAGGTTCCTAACATGCAGACACACTAAAAATAGATGTGAGCACACACACACAAATAAAATGTTCTAAACGGGATAAGGAATCAAGGGGTAGAGGAGAATTTCCAAGCAGCATGGGTATTTCAAATGCAGCGAAGCAGCAGTGCTCTCTGTCAAAACACAGAGAGGTGATTTTCCTTGTTGCTAAGATCAGCACTACTAAGTTTTCCAGCCGCTTTATTTTCCTTCCCTGAAGTCTCCACGATGATGCCAAAGCGCTGGGCTCGCTCGGGCCAGGATGCGCCGCAGCAGCGAGGCAGAGCCCCAAGCCGCCCCATAGCCCCTCGCTGCCCCACGGCCTGTCCACCCGCGAGGTGCAACAGCATTGCAGGGAATCGCATCTGGGGCCAGATCCTTGGGAGTCAGCACAGCTCTGCTGTTCTCACCGCCCCCGCTTCCTTGAGCACGGACCCCATTTTCCTGCCGGCCGCTTTTCAGACTGAAACTCACTTTCTGCAAGCTGTGCTCAGCACCGGGGGTTGCCGCGTTCACGATGCCGACGCTTGGCCCTTGCGTGTCCTTCGTGAGCGAAGCCGAGCGCGACGTGACCTTCAGAGCCAGGTGGGAGCGGGATCGCTGGAGGACTCCCCGGCATCGTGCTGTCCCGCTAAGCCACGGCAGGCTTCGGCCTGGGTGCTGCAAGAGGAGCAGAGATCAGCTGGGTTGGTAACAACACCAATACGCGTTCACCTTCCATCCTGAAGGCTCAACACCCACAAAACCGTGATCTTTTGGAAGCTCGTTAGTTGTGCTCCCCAAACACACACGTCTTCCAGGGGCTAATCTTCCCTTTTTACATTGAAATGCCCATGGGTAACGCTTGCTTTCTGTTTTGCTATTTTTTTTAATTTGTTTTCATATTTTATGAGGCAATCTGCAGAAGGCTGAGGTTGCCCAACACACCTATGTGCCCAGCTGCCTGCTCAGCCCAGACACTCAATGGACCCACAAGGAAATGACATTAACAACACATGAGGTGTGCAAGTCCCGGAAGGGAAAGCAACCTTGGCCTTCTTCAGTTTGTAATGAATGCAATTTGGATGGACTTAAAAATAACAATTTCCCTTTTTTTTTTTTTCTCTTTTGTATGTAAATGCAAGGGAAAAGTGTTCCCAACCAGCACATGACTCATGTCCACACTCTGCTGCTTTCCAAGAGATTTATTAGCAGCAACTCAACTCAGATGGGAATCAGAGGGCTGGATGCCCACCAGATGAAAGGTCCTACCATGAAGCTCAGCATCAGCCGAGCTCCTGCCTCACGCTTAGAAACCACTTACTTTTAGTGCAGTTATAAAAAAAAAACGCGTGGTTTTATGAGCGGAGGGTGCAAGAGCAGCCCAACAACACAGCTCGTTCCCTCATGGACATGCTGACAGCACGCGTGTTCCTGGGACACGAGCAGCGCGGCATCGTTAAGATGGATGATGTGCACACCACGTGCCTTTAGAAAGCACGGACAGAGATGACAGGGTAACTGGGATGGGGTAAACAGGGACAATTGGGGGTGACCGCCCTGCAGGGTGCAAGGTTTAACCCCAGGCCAGGAGAGCGGTGCGGGTCAGCAACCAGCTGGGGTGACCCGCGATCCCCGGCAGTTCCTGCCCTGCTGCAGGGAAACCCAAAGACACATTTTTCATACCCAACTCCATGAGACCAACACTGCCTCCTTGGGAGAACAGCCCTGGGGTTGCTTTTAAGAGCAAAGTGTTTGAAACATGCGAAGTGCATCCAAACACCTGCTGGATACCTCGAGACGAAGGCTCCGGCTTCAGCCACCCAATTCCAGCCTCCTTCTCCACAACATCAAAGTCTGAAATCATGATGAGAGCCTCAGAAATCCATCACAAATCCAGAAACCCATTTGCGCTTTATTTAGGGGTAGATTATTGGAAATCGCTAAGCACAGTAGGTGACAAGACGCTGATGGCCTCCAAGGATCTTAAGACTTTTCAAAAAAAAATCACTTTGCACATAATTAACTCATCAAATATACTCATGAGCTTGGCTTTCTAGCTAGACCATAAATCTCCAGGCATATCCTGGGCAATCTTAAGAATCGGTCTTCTTCGGAAAGACAGGGCTGCCCTGGCAGAGCTCCAGAGCGAGGAAGGGGCAGTTTTCCTAATTATTTGGATCATTTTCAGGTGCTCTTGTAGTTTCTGCTTCTGACCTGAGACCTCCACAGCCCAGCTCTCAAGAGCACCAGATATTTGTGAAGGAGAAAGTGCTCAGCGCCTCAGATCCCTGCTCCTGGGTATCTCCAGGGGGCTGTTTACCACCGTATCCAGACTCGGAAGCAGGAAAGCGGCCAAAACTCGGAAGAAGTGGTCAGAGCTTCGAGGCTAAGAGGTACCCAGACTGGTGACAACTGCAAGGCCACGGTGGTGGCCAAGCCCAGGGGACGTGAGTAATGTTCCCAAGGGTGGTGCATGTGGGAAGTCGGTCGTTGTAGAAACATGGGACTCGTTTCCCTGGATGACTCTGCTCCCTAGAGCAAGGCTAAACAGGGAAGCTGGGCCTTGCTGCTAAGCTCCCACGTGGTGCCTGCTGCCCTTTCCCAGAGATCCAGCCTGGTTCGCTCATGGAGCAGTCTGGAACCAGGCCTTCAAATCTGCACAAAAGGAGAATTCATGCATTGATGCCATTAGGGCAGGCACCACTTTGGGAACATTAGCCTAAAAACTCATGAAAACCCAGTTAATAAATTCCAATTTGTGCACGTGTTCCTAATTTTAGCTACATTTATAATTCCCAAGTCAGGCATTTGCTCATGCTCAACCAATGTTGAGCGCTCTACTCACCTCCTGCACTTCCAACCCCTAATAACTGGGGGACTCTCCTGGGAACTTCCATGCTGGAATGGAGATCCCTTCCACCCTCGGCAACAAGCTCAACAAGAGCGAGGGGAGCCAAGATCACAGAGTCAAACCATGTGGGGGATCCTTACAGCACCTCTTCCTATGCCTCCCATGATGAATTTTCATGAGGTTTCTTTCACAATGAAGACATTTCTCCCGTTAGTTTTTGACACATAATGATCAGACAGCCCTTTAAAAAAAGCCTCGGGAATAAAAGAAGCAAAAAAAAAAATCATTAAAATGAAAATAAATAAAAGACCCTGCAGCCTGTCTATCGAGGAACTGCCAACGCTTCCAAGGAAGGCCTTGAGGTAGCGCTCCTGATTCGATCCCCACCTTTCGGATAAGCTCTCCAGAGCAAAAGGTGAGCTGCAGCCTCGCAGGAGAGGGGGTTTAGGGACTTTGCTTTCAGTATCAGAGACCTGCTGTTAAATGCAGTCTAAATACATAGCATGCTCCGAGCACCCCTGGAGCCGGCTGCTGGGGAATCAGGAGAAGTTTTACCCAGATGATCAGTTTTCAGCCCAGTAAACAGGTAAGAAGCCGCCTACAAGTTAGAGCAGCGCAGGCTCAATGTGCCTTTGCATCCTGCCTTTAGCTCCCCAAAAAGACCCCCAGAGTCTTCCCTGTGCGCATTCTTCCCAGGCCCTTGAGCCCCTGGTAAGGAAACCCAGGGCCTGATACACAGCAGCTGATCTGTCTGATAGCCAAACTGGAATTTCTCCCTGGAATAACCTGAAATACCAGTACCAATCCTCCCTGCACTTGCATGGAGCCAGGCTGCAGTCTGGACAGCTTTCCACTGAGCACCCTCAAGTGCAAATCTGACATCTTGTCATTCAACAGTGCTAAATAGAGGCTTTTTTAGCTGATTTTGAGACAGCAGTAGCATGAAATAACATTAGATAAATAGCTTCTCACAGAAAGGCTTTGATTCCTCCGACGTACTTTTCTGCGTCAAGCCAAGCACAGAAGCCCTTGTCATGGCCATACATTTCTTTCACCGGCGCCTATGAAATTTCTTTCCTAATAGTCTAATTAGGGAAGCTGAGCCCAGCGAGCGTGCTGGGGTTCTCTCTCTCTCTCCTCAGCAGCTCCTTACTGATTAATCTGGTCCTCAGGATCTCTGAAAATAACTCCTGCATTCAGCAATCTCGTATGACTTCAGGACACTTTTGAACATGACCAACATTTCCGAATACCAGCACCACCTGGATCCTCAGCACCACCTTTATAATGCAAGAGGGTTAAACCCAAGGCTTGCAGCTAAACGTTCCTTGCAACATAAAATATATTTTCCACTTGCTTTCACATGCAAAGGTTGTCCCTCTCTGCCTGCCACAAGCTCCTCTATGATGCACCCTACAATGGCCATAAAAGGTCCTTGGGCTACTCCTCTTGGCAAACATGGCCTAGCGGGCTCATCTTGGGCACACTGTGGACCATGGCACCCAGCCAGGTTACTGGGTGAGCGGGATCTCCTAGGGAACAGCTCTGCAGAGCAACTCATTTGGGAATTCCTTGAATGAGATGTGAATAAACAGCAAAGGAAAGGGGCAGGAATACTGCAAGCAGAGGGCGGACCTAGAAAAAGAGATGAGCCTGCAGTGCCTGCAGTGACACAGGCTTTTCTGCCAGGGTAAAAGCAGCCCGGTGTTTATAGCAGTTAGCAAGGCTCAGATCTCTCTGGCATGGCTGGAGCCAGGACTTGGATCCAGATCCTCACACCCAGCAGGAGCTGCCTGGCTACAGAATCAGCCTCTCAAACTCAACGTGTTATTTATGGGTGCAAAGTGCAGTGACTGCTCAGTCTGTGCCAGTGCCTTCCATGCTCCCTGGGGACATGGTGATAAACTGCTCTCCAGCTTCTCCTCCACGTTTCCTACCACGTGCTGTTGGCTGCCCAGGGGCCGTGGCTCCAGCTTGGTTGTCCCCCAGCCGCTCATCCCTTTGCTGCTTTCTCGGCTCCACCTGTCAGCCCGAGACCTTGTCTTCCTCCTTCACCCTTCTTGGAGGCACCTTGCCTTGGGCCCGTCTTCTCTCGTCTGAGCACCTCAGGGTGCACCTCAGTGTGCTCATTCCTGGGCAAAGGCTGGCCCAAGACGTCCTCTCCCTGTAAAAATGCTTTACACAAAGACAGCGAAACACC